TGCAAACTGTTAATGGATTATTTTGGAAACTCAAAGGGATTTTTGAGTGTGTGTTTTTAAAGCATCTGTGGCTAAAAGAGCTATTCATTATTCTCCAGCATAAAAGACATTCAAGGGATACGGAGGGAGCACAGCCCTCATCATGCAGTGCCACAGAAGCCTCTTTGCTTCTATTTTCCACCCTCCCCAGTTTCCAGATGTGCCATTTCCTCTGAAGTATTTCCTCTGAAGAACTCATCTCTTTGGGGTTTAAACATACACTATACATCCTGGGGGTGTATGTGTCTCAAACTGAAGAAGATGAAGAACCAAAAGCATAAAATGTAGAGGCCTCACAAGTCCTAACTGCAGCCCCAAACTCAAAGGATGAAGGCTTCTGAAGACCTGGCACTCAAGCAAATGGCCTGGGTGCAAGCATGTCTACAGTTCCCATTCAGAAGGCATGAAATTGGTTTCACACAGCAGAACTCCACAGGAGCCAAAACATTTGTAACCTACGTGGATGCAGCCAATCATGTAGTGATACACCCAACAGGCCCAGTCAACATGGTAAGACACTTACAACTGTTATGGTCCCAGCCCAGAATACGGGTATGCAGACATATTTCAACACCTTCACAAAGACACAGAACAACTGGTCCCACATCCTCCAGTTGTTGCATCTCCTCCCAGTCATTCCTGGAGATGCTGGGATTGAACATGGGGTGTTTTGAGTACAAAGTATATGTTCTGCCACTGACTTACAGCCCTTCCCCTAAAGTCACACTTGGCCTGACAAGCAACTCAGCAGCTCTTCTTTCCAGCTACAAATGTTATCAATGGTTCAGGCGCGAAAAAGTTGGAAGTCCATCCATACAGTGCCCTTTTATCTAACATCACAAAAGGCCTACCAAGGACTACATTCCAAGAATAGATTTTGGATCTCTCATTATAAAAACTTTCTTCGCCTTCTGATAACCTATTGGGCATGATGTGAACAGCTGAACAATGTATGATGTTAGCATGGACATACAATGAGTTAGTGCATAGTGAAACAAGGAGTTTTGACAGGTGGCTGTTGCCAGCTCCTGAAAAACTAGGCCAGATACCTCAGCATCAGTTTCACTGAGATCCAATTCAAGATGATGATGATGATGATGATGATATTATTATTATTATTATTATTATTGTTATTATTATTATTATTATTATTTACAGGAGTTGTCTCCATTAATAGACTGAACAAGGCCAGGGCCAAATAATATATTTTGTGTAATTCTATTTTGAAATAAATCTAAAAAATACAGCCAATGAAAATGAAGGACACACACAAACAACACTACAGAACTTCCAGTACAATAACATAAAAGCTGATTTACTGTCCTTCGTACCGTAATGCCCCAAATATAAGTCGCACCCAAATATAAGCCGCAGCTTTAAAATTGATGGGGGAAAAGAAAAAAATACCCGAATATAAGCCACTCCCTTCCTTGCTGCTCCTGGCTGCATACTTTTGGGGGGGGCAGGGGGAGAGCAGCACTGCGTTGCCGGCAGCCTTTCCCCTTCCTTGCTCTCTCCCTTCCCAACCTTGGGGAAGGGGATGGGGAATTACGCGTGGGGCGGGCGCTGCTTCGCCGCACTCCTGGCACTGTTTACCCTGCGCTCCTGGCTGCGTACCATAAGGTCGTGAATATAAACCGCACTTTAACTTTTCACGGTTGGAATTTGGGGGGAAAGTGCGGCTTATATTCAGGCCAATACGGTATATCATAAAACTGACCACATTACTTTCTTTACAACAACAACATGGTACAGAGGGTTTTCATGTTGCTGTTTTTCCTGGGCTGGAAATCACACCCCAAAGCTCCTATTTGTTCCCACAGGTGTTACACCTTGGGGGGGGGTGACTTTTGACTGTAAAACTGCAAGGAGAAGAGCCGAGCCCTATCCCAGCTATGCCATGGTGCCAATTCACCCCCATGGCTGAGTCTTTTCTAACCATGTTAGTTTTAAAAAATACTTTTAGCATAATGTGGAGTTTGGCCCTCAAGTTGGGAAGCCAACTATATAAAAAAGAACTTCTCAAATACCGTGCAACTTAATACCGGTATATTAAGCTTTATAACGCAAACATGTACAAACCTTGATGTATGAACAATGGACAAAGAGAGAAATGCTTATATGCTCGGTCAAAACATGTTTGGTATTTGTTATAGATTAACTAGTATTTGCTATACATTGGTGTTTGTCATACATTGTTGTTGTTGTTTAGTCGTTTAGTCGTGTCTGACTCTTCGTGACCCCATGGACCAGAGCACGCCAGGCACCTCTGTCCTCTGTCATACATTAGCATACCTATTTGTCAATGCTTCATGTATCAAGGAAGGCAGCCAGCCGGGCAGGAGGTACACACTTCGCCTTCCAGCAGCAGCATCACTGCAGCATACCAGAAGGAAGAGGGGCAAGTAAATGGGGAGGTCAGCACTGTGGACACACCAGGGGGCTCACCAGATTAGCTGCCAGTGTATTCGCACAATGCCAACCTCTCCACCACCCCTTCTTGCTGAAAAGGCACAGGAGGCCAGGTGTGTGCCATTGCCTCTCCCCTCCATTTGGTTCCACAAGAAGGTACTTATTTTTATTTTTTGGGTGGCTTTAAAACGTTATATATTCAGTTGTGCAACAGCTGAGAAGTTCCTTTTAAAAACATTTCATTTCCTAGCTTGTTTGCTTCTTGGGGGTTGTGGATGGGCTACATTAATCTCTCTGTGTGTGTTTTTGACTTTGGCCCTCAAGTCACTGTCCATTTCTGGTCTCCATGAAGAGCTCTGGGGCTTCAAAAAATCTCTTTGTATGATTGACTAAATATCGTCAGAGTCTTGCAAATACCAGAGAATAAAAACAAAACCAAGCAAGTTTCAAGTCCTCATGACTGAAGAGATGAATGGGCAATATATGCAGCAGCAAAACCCTACAATGCAGCCCTCACGCCTTGCTCTTCTTCTAGTGAGAGACAAAAGAGTAGCAGAGCCCAAACAAATGCTTCGCAAGGCATTTCTCCCTGTAGGTTCCTGATGGATCAGGAAACAGAATGTGTGTACCTTTCAAAGCATAATAGCCACCATTAAGTGTCATTAACATGGGTTGGGTGGGGGGGAGAAGAGATATATTCAACCCTGGATGCAGCTCAAGTGCACACTCCCAGATGGTCATTAGGGGGAATTATGAACTTAATTGCTCAAGCTGCATGGCTTCAGCATAAGGCTGCCTAATGAAATAATTGGGGTTTCTTGGGAAGACAAACATGGGGACATTGCAATCCATGTGCCTTCCTTAAACCTGCAGAAACAGATGAGAATTTTCCCAGAAAACAGTGGGATCTGTCAGGAAAAAATCAAGCAGTGGGAGGGTGGAGAGAATGGAGCAAAGTGAAGCAGGGTCACTCTTGGTGAATTTAAAATGGGAGAGCACACTACAGATGTTGGCTCCAACCCACTTGTCCTCAATTGCCTGTTCTAATTAACAAGTCAAATGGAAGAACTTTGTTCTGCCTTTGGAAGGAAGCAAAATTTGGGTGTGTAGAAGAAAATCCTTAATAATATTGTCATTTGGGGCGGGGTGGGAGGAAGGAGAGAAACATCTAAAAGTTATATAAAGTTTTGTTTTGTTTTCTTGAAGACAAGATGGCTTCATAGCAAGTGGGGACAGACAGGAAAGCAGGATCTTCTGGCAGATCTGAGTATAGATTGGCAAAGGTCTCTTGACTCTAAACTGCTTAACAATGGAAACAATGAAGTTGTTCTCCACCACCGCCTAAACTGCACTGCTGAAATGAAGAAAGCCAACCAGATGTGGACTTGTGTGTGACAGGATTATGAGCTCATGTCTCTACTAAAAAGAAAATTTTAGGCTCAAAATGTGTGAAGACAGACACTCTGTGCTGTGCTTTACCCTGACTCTTATAGGTAGATCTTGGGGTTCTAGTAAAAACAAAGTAGGCCTGAAGAAGGCCCACTTCTTCTCTGGAGACAGATCCTTCTGTTTCTTCAAAGTTCCCTTCCCACCCCAGCTAAGCTAGTCAGAAAGGCTTTTATGAAACTGAGGGCTACAATGCATTTTTAGGACAAGGATAGGTCTATTTCATGGAGGATAGATCCAAGCAAGGATAGTTCTATCAATGGTTATTAGCCATGACAATGCTATGGAATCTCCAAGGTCCAGAAGCAATATGCCTCTGAACTGTAGTTACTGGAGAGCAATAACCAGGGAGATGCCCTGCTTGTGAGATTTCCAGAAGATGACTCTGATTGCTGGCTATGAAAAACAGGATGCTGGATTAGGTGGAACTTCGGTATGACCCAGCATGGCTTTTCCCATGTCCTTATGACAAAAACATAAACATTTTACTTTCACAGATGTCCCCATAATTCCCAGAATAGTTAGAATTATGGTACAGCAGGGGCAACCAGAATGAAGGGCAAATGAAGAAAAAAACCCTGAAACCTTCATATCTAATCTAAAGAACCCAAGTGTGTCATACACCAAAACTTTTTTATTGTGTTTATATCTCATCTTTCTTCTGTCATGGAACCCAAGGCACAGTTCATGTGGTTCCCAGTTGGTTACCTGGTCAGGCACTGACCAGACCCAGACCTCCCTAGTTTCAGTCACCTCATGTGCCTTCATACTCTGGGACCACATTCCTAGAGCACCAATATTACTAGAACACGTTTTCCGTATTTCACCATCCCTCCCACACACACAATCTCAAGTACAGGTTGCAATGTAAATAGCATTCCAATCAATCCTCATATTTGATTATCTCAACATTTTGGATGTAAGCAACTGCATTACACATTCATTTGGCACTCAGACAAAATGATGCAGATAGGTGGAGCCACATCAGCTGTCTTACCATTGCTTAGAATTAATTCACGGTCTCTGTTTCTAAACACCAAAGAGCATTTGACTTCATCCCTTTTGCTATCTCAGCCACGCACTGTTCTTTCAATGGCACTCACCATGGTCATGGGCAAATACAAAAAAGTTGATTCCCGTCAACATCTGGGCCAAGTCATCATAGCGACAGCAGTGTTCTCCAGCACCGTGAGCAACGAACACCAGGCCCCTAAATGGAGCATCAAAGTAGAATGTGTCAATTTAGAAACCAGGGAATATAAAAGCAAACAAGCTGTGTTTAAAAGAGCAAGATTTAAAAGCTTCAGTATTGTTATTTACAAATGCTGTTTTGAAGCATTTGAAGCCCTGGGACCCAGATATTTACCAGACTGCCTTCTTCTATACCAGCCCATCCATTTACTGAGATCATAATCAGGGGCTCCCCTCCTGCCTCCTGATTTATTTATTCATTTATAAAAATATTAATACCACCTATTACAATCCATCTCAAGACAGTTTACAAATGAAAATTATACATAATATAAATGCAACTGATAACATGGCATGTGATAACTGGAGAAATAGGATGGAATGGAACTAAGCTGATCGTTCTGTTATTACATTTCTGTTTGTTGGATGGAAAGATCCCCCTCAGCTCCCCCAACATGCTGTTCCAGGGGTTCTCCTGACCCACTCTGAGTCAATTTCTGGGTGTTTGAGGATCACCTGGGGAAGGAGGGGGACGTCCTATTGCACAAGAAGTATTTGCATAGGCTTCTGCTGACAGGATTCATTACCTGAATCCTGCCCATAGCCTTTTAAGTGCAGCCCCTCAGGTTTATTGGCCCTCATCCAGCCAACTACTGAGCATTGGTTCAGCACTTGTCCAGCCTCACCTGCCTCCAATGACAGAGAAACAGAGCTGAATGTACACTGAGCTCAGTATGCCAATGACACCTCACTCCAAACCCTCTGATGGTCTGCCAAAAACTGCTTCATTAAAAAGCACGAAGTGGTAGATGGTAGGTAAGACAGAACCATGCTGCTTCTTTCTGAAACCAACCCCACAGGTAGGAACAGAATCACTCTGCTACCATGCCCATGTTAGCCAGATGATACCATGGACACTGTTATCAAAAAATTGCTAAGAGGACAAGCAAAATATGGTTCACAGAATCAAAAGCCGCTGAGAGGACAGGGAGAATCAACAGGGTTGTGTTCCCCCATCTTTCTCCCAACGGAGTTAACCCACTGGTGCAACCACAGCAGCTTTAGTGCCACACTCGGGCCTGAATCCAGATCTAAGTGGATCTAAGAAATCTGTTTCACCCCAAAGTATTCAAAAGCACCACCCTCTTGGGTATCTTGCTCCCCACAGGGGATATTAGTGTATTGGTAATGGTTGTTAAAATAAGGCTACCAGATGTCGCCATTTCCCAGGGACAGTCCCCAGATTTACAAATCAGTCCCTATACAAAATCCATTGAAGTTGAAAAGCGTCCCCAGATTCACTGAAAAAAATCTGGTAACCTTATGTTAAAATCTCCCTGAGTAGCCACACAACTGCTTCATGACGCATGAGAGCTGACTGATCACAAACTGAATTTTCTCTTTTCACTGGTAGCTGCAGTACAGTAGCATTCCATCCATTCAAAACATCTGGAAAAATGTAAACACTATAAAGCAGGCCTGCAGAGTTTGTTACCCACCAAACTGAATGCAGACCACTAGCCACATTTGGTGGCTCCTGAGTTTTTTGCTAGGCATGCCTGAGACTTTAAAAAACAACAACAGGCAGTTGCTAAGCACCTCTCAGGCCACTGCTGGGCTGTGTTCACCATGATGGCCCAGGCCTACAGAATGGCCAAAGAAACACATCCATCTTTTGGACACTGCAAGACCCCACTAACCACAGTGCTTCTTTTGCAGTTATTTTCATCTCCAGATGCTACAACTCTGTTAGCAAGAAACTCTGAAATTGACACGTTCCAAGAAGAAACCAGCACAGGCAGCATGAAAGGCTTCTCTTGCACATCTTTTTTTTTAAAAAAAAACCCTCATATAAGTAACAGAGCCAAAATAGCTCTCTGCACAGCCTGAAAACTGGCTCTGCGTGAATGACCTGCAATTTCTATAAACTGGATTAAAACAACAAATGTGGCCAGGAGTCAGCAAATCCTAAAGACTGCAGTTTTAAGCATGCTGGCTTGGAAACAAATTCCATTGAATCCAATGGAGTAAATGGATTTATGACTGATATGCCAACAACATGCCTAAGTTTGAGCAAGTGAGTAGGACGGCGTTCTGCTGAACCTAGCAACGTGACTAACATCGCACAGGTGTTTTATATAACACACCATGGCTGTAGTATTAGCAGCGGTTGTCAGAATTTCCAATAAGCAATGCAATTAAGTGGTGCTTGGCTTAATGTGAGAAAGGATCCCCACAATGGTATAATTGTGAGTTTTCTATCTCTCCCCATCACCACCACTAATAATACTCTACCTTGAGGATTTTCTGTAACACTAATGAGGTGAAAGAAGGGAGAGTCACCTTGTGGTGCAATTTTCAGATTGCCAAATCACTGGAGGTGGGTAGGGAGCCGGCTGGGCTTGTTCTTGGCCCTCTTGCAACAGATCTGGCAAAATCAACAGGTATTTTCCTCCCCACAGCACTAAGAGAGATGGTTGGCAGCTCAACCCACTGCTACAGGCCAAGGAGAAGGGAGCAATAAAAAAATTGGCTGTCTTAAAGGTTTGCCAAGTGCACTTATACTTGGCTTGTAACTTGCCACTTTCCTATGAGAATTAACAATTTCACACAGGGAACCAGGCAGAAAAGTTCCTAAACTGAAAGAGAGCAGGTTTTAAAAATTCTATCAGGCTATCCAAAATATTAACATGGATCCTTAGTTAGGTGGTGAACTTACACAAACCTAAGTGAGTTACATAAGAACAGCCTTGCTGGATCAGGCCTAAGGCCCACCTAGACCAACATCCTGTTCTCACAGTGGCCAAGGTTCCTATGGAGAGTCTGAAAAAAGGATGTGAGTGCAAGAGCACTCTATGCACCTGCATCCCCAACAACTGGCATTCAGCGACATGTTGCCTTTGACTATGGAGATAGAACATAGTCATTATGGCTTGCAGTCATTGACAGCTCTATCCTCCATGAATTTGTCGAATCCTCATTTAAAACCTTGGTGACCATCACTATCCCTTGTGGAAGCAAATTCCATAGTTTAACTATCCACTGTGTGAAGAAGTAATTTATTTTGTTTGTCCTGAATATTCCAACATTCAAGGATTCTTAGTGGGAGAAAAGCTTTTCTCAAGGCCTTTTACCACACCACATATTATTTTATATACTTCTATCATGTCCCCTTCTTAGCTGCCTTTTCTCTAAACTAAAAAATCCCCAAATGCTGCAATACTTCCTCACAGGAGAGTTGCTGCCTCTCTCTTGATCAATTTGATTGCGCTTTTCCGAGCCTTTTCTTATTCTACAATATCCTTTCCGAGCTGAGGCAATCAGAACTATGCACAGTATTCTAAATGCAGTCACACCAGAGATTTGCATAACTGCGTTATGATATTGGCAGGTTTACTGGCAGTCCATTTCCTAATGATCCCTAGCATGGCATTCACCCTTTTCATCACTGTCGCCCACAGGATTCTGTAGGAAGAACTGGACTGTGTAGAAACTATATCATCATTATTATTATTATTATTATTATCATCATTATTATTATTTGAATTTATATACCACCCTATTTCTCAGGGATAATTCAAATATTCTCCAGAAGAAATAATAAGGATGCTTAATTCACCTTAATTACTCTTCCTAAGACAAGAGTATGCATGCTGAAGTATTCCAATGGGAAGCGAAATTGCCACCATTTGCACTTTCACCTGAAGTCAGGAATGGAAACAACACAAGCAAATACAAAGCAGGATTTGCTGTCATTTTTTTAGTCCATAAACATTACGGAAATAGTTCTCCTTCCCCCCCCCTTCATTTCCCCCTCCCACACCAATGAAATTAATTACATAATTACTTATGCTAGTTTCGGCCACAGCAGACAGAGAGATGAACAGTATAGGTTTTAGCAAGAGCCGAACTGTAGCAGAACAGAAACAGCACTAATTGCGATGAATGCAGGATGGAATTCAGTGCCTCCTTTCATTTCGAAATGAGGGCTGGTTAACAACTACGTAGAGGCTGCTGAAAACACATCTCCACACACGGCTGCTGTAATGTGTAGATGTAGAAGCAGTTTACAGCGTGGACTGGTCCCACTGCACAAAGAATATCCACACCAGTGCTGTACATTCCTGGCACAGGAAAATACTACAAAATACAGTGGTCAACCATTGTTGCAGCCACGACTCCGGTTTCCAACAGTGGCTTGTCAAATTCCTCTGAGAAGCTTAAAAGTAGGACATGAAGGCAACAGTCCCTTTCCTCGCAAACTCACCAAATGTTTGCCCCCAGCAACTGGTATACAAAGATATACTGCCCCTGTTTCTGGAGGTTTCATTTAAATTTCATAGCTAATAGCAACTATCCTCCACCACAGCATAATGCATGCATTATAATAATTATTGCTTTCCTTTTGATCCCTTTCTAACAATCCTTAATATATGTACACAATCCATGCCCAGAACAGGGATGTTAATGAGCTAGTCTGTTGGTGGGAGGGGGGCGTGCTAGGCCAGAGCGCTTATCATTTAAGCTTATGAATATGTTAGGGTGTGTGAGGAAAATTACAGAACCTCTTTTACTTGAAAGGTTTCAGCGCAATAACTAGACCAGTTCTAAAATAGCATTGCTGACATACGCAGAGTGAACACTTGAAATTTAAATCCCTACAGAAAGATGATGTTGGGGGTGTGTGGAAATCAGCTAATAGAAACTGGGGATTGATTCTGAAGCAAACTCACATTTTAACTTGCGAGAGTGTGGGTTCTCTGCAGAAGCCAATCTGGGCCCAATTCATACATTTATCTTTAAGGCAAGATTGTGAGCACAGAGATGCTTACTTCCTATTGGCTCCCAAGCCAATAAATGCATAGTTTGATCACATTGTCCCACTGAGTCATGTGAGCACCTTCTACATCAGCAAGGATGGAGGGGTGACACTGTTGTGGGAAGTATCTACACATTCTTATGTTATGTGGGAACCAGCTACAGAGGAACAGTTCTGCAGTACCAACCAGATTACTATGT